ATTATTCGAGCGAATGAAACCTGTTGGTCATAGCAACAACTGAACCCCCCCCACCCGGGTCACATCCGGCCCGGGAAAGATTTTTGTCCTGCCCACCAACTTAACCGTAGTAAAGAATTTGTATTTTTTTTTATTGTGTTAGTTGTTATTCTGTTATTCCTGTTATAAATTAAGGAAAATAGTTTAAAATAAGTAGATAAAACTTGTCTAAATTGTTAATAACACATGTCTTAATGAAAACATAGTGCCAATATATATATATATATATATATATATATATATATATATATATATATATATATATATATATATATATATTTGATGTCCACAAAGTCTCTTTCCAATTTAAAAATATATTACAAAAGCAATTGATATCTTAATCAGATTTTTTCTATGTATTCAGTAGTTATCAAACTTTTTAATCACATTGCATTTGTGTATTTCAGGGTACCCTGTTGATGAAAGGGGTACTGTTAAATGAACCCCCTAACAATTGCAGACCGGTGGATTGGAAGGGATGGTCCAATTCCCTGGCCACCTCGTTCACAAGATATCACACTCCTGGATATCTTTCTATATGGTTATGTTGAAGATATCATGTATTGAACAAAGATAACAGGCATTCTTGATCTAAAGCAAAAGATCACAGACGCCATTGCCCACCATTAATGAAGTGATGGCACAGCGAACGAGGCAAGAAATCGAGTACCGTTTTCATGTGCTTCGGGCAACTAATGGCGGCAATATAGAGGTGTATTAAATTAGTTAAAAAAAACTTCAGTATCTACTCCACATTTTGTAACAATTTCCAGATATTTGTATATTCATTTGGTTTTGTAATATTTTTTTTAAATTGTAAAGAGATTTTATGGGCACCCTTTACACACCACCAAACACACACACACACACACACACACACACACACACACACACACATATATATATATATATATATATATATATATATATATATAAAGTTACTCCAAAATTCGCTTGAGGATGAAATGGAACTAATGCTTTTAATTTAATTGCAAAATTAAATTCGGGGATTTTAGCTTCTATTTTTGAAAAATGGTTAGAACTGTGTAGAGGAAAAACATATTTTAAATCAATTAATTTATAATATTAATGCTCTGTAAATTTACATTGAGCTCTATTTTGTAAAAATAAAAATATCTATAAGAACGCCGGATTATATATCTTACTGTTCTTTCTTTCTATATATATATATATATATATATATATATATATATATATATATATATATATATATATATATATATTCTTTTTAATAGATACAAATATTTAAGTAAATGCTCTGAATGTCCGAGAAATTGTCATAGAAAATATACATTTACTTAAATATTTGTATCCATAAAAACGAATGTATAAACATACGAATGTCTTAATATATGTGTGTGTGTACGCGTGCGATACAAATATAGTTTTAACGTATGCTATATTTATGGGTAAAAGTGCTCAAGATTAGGGCTAGAGCTTTTGTAAGTATAAAAGTGGACATTGAGGTTGGTCAATATCGAATGTTGACAGTCTGTTTCACAGTTGAACGCAATCGTCACGGCTGATTAAACAAACATATAAATATGACTTTAATCCGGTGAACTTCTAACGGCCGAAACGCAAGACACGAAAATTTGTTCCACTTTATCATTACCTTTCGGATTACATATATATATATATATATATATATATATAAATATATATATATATATATATATTATAGATTAAAGTGCTCAATATCAAGGATAGACCGTATGTAATATAAAAGTAGACATTGAAGCCAACACCCATGTTTCATGCTTATACGCAATCGTCAGGCCATATGTGTTGTTTTTTTGCTTGACTATTAATATATACAAGTCAAGCATTGTGGGTAGTCTTTTGTATTGTTCATACGGTTATTTTGGTGGATGGTTACGGTTATGTTTCGAATTATTCTTCTGGTTAGCCTAAAATTTATCAGGCATTATTTTGTAATACGCGTACCGACTAAAAATAACCTTTATTCTAATCTATTTCTAAACACTCCTCCCCGGTCTTATGAACAGGAGTATAGGTTTATCGTACTACTAGATTGGTGGCAAAGTCTCGTCATTCTACAGCTGAAATGGCTAGATATAACCGTAAGTTCTATGCTAATAGTTTCTTCTCTCGCATTTCTCACTTGTTGAATTCTCTTTCGGTTTTTAGTTTTACAGTTAAATTTGGTCTTCAAAAATGTAAATGCAATGTCAATCGTTATCTCCTGATTTTTTAATTTTTGTTCTTTTATTGTTCTTGCTCATTAATAATGTTTTTTTTTCTTGATCCATCCTTGCGCCTTAGTGACTTAATTGTAAACTGATAAAAATAAAATAAATAGGTTAAGAAAAGAGCATATTTTTTTTATAAGATTTGGTGCCGTGACCAGAAACCAAAACTAGAAACCAAAGCTGATCGGAAAGTTTAAAGGAGAGACAATACGTGAGGATGTACTTACGCATTCGATCAGCACAAGTTCTGAGGCACTCCGCTTCACTCTCGAATCTATTCTCGTTCCCACGACAACCTCCATAATTAAAAGGTAAGCATTTCTTCATACGAGTGTCGTAATAGAATCGTTGGAATTTGGCACGGCAGGGACCGTCATCAGGGGGTGAGGTACAAATGGCTGGTAGGAGAAAAAACAAAATATCCTTTAATTAAAAATATATGTAAAGAAGGTTTATGCCGAGTCGAAATTTAAAAAATAGAAGTTCTGAATGGTATTATATAAAATTTAAACATTACTTTTAATTTATTTGCATTCGTACTTTTAATGCTTAAGCCAAATGTCTGATACATTGATAGTAACGTATATATATATATATATATATATATATATATATATATATATATATATATTTATTTATGAAATGGACAAAGTCCGAAAATTATTTTAAGACATTTTTATACATTCTTTTTATAGGAGCGTTCGGTTAGCAAGGTCGAATTTAATTTAAGATGGAAGTTTAAAGACAATAAATTCGACCTTGCTAACTGAACGCTCCTCTGGCCAAATCGGTTAACGGCACGTCAAACTGAATGACGGTTCCGTATAGGATACAGGATCGGATCTTGTCGGAGGAGGAATGTTTTCTGTAGAAATTTCTCGGACATTCAGGCCGGTAAATGTTGTTTAATACTGTTTATTATAAACAGAACATTTACTTAAATATTTGTATCTATAAAAAGAATGTGTAAATATAAAAATGTATTAATATATATATATATATATTATAATAAAAACATTTTTAAATCGCTACACAAAAGTATCATATTTCAATACTATCAATGAACTTCTTCAGGAAATACCAAATAATTAAATAAGGTTAATGGCATTATTAAATTCTTTTCTTGCAGAACAGGGATTAGGAAGAATGGTAAATCATAGTTTAGAGCTACAAATAATAAGAAGTTGTGGAGATCCATAATTTCTGAAGGGTCAAGATATATAAAAGAAGATGATATATAAACGTTCGTATTTTACCAGCCATTTCTGACTGGTCCATATGAAAAGGGTTAATGCATTTTCCTCTTTTTATATGAAACTCTAAAATTTCTTCTTTTTTCCCGTTTACAAATTTCGTATTTGTAGAATTCTTATTGAAATCATTTTTTAATATTTTTAAATTTCAGCTCTTAGAATGCTTATCACGTTAAAACATTGATCCTCGTCCGATTACCGAAGTTAAGTAAAAGTGAACCTGGTCAGAACACGGATGGGTGACTGCTGGGGGAATACCAGGTGCTCAATGCTAACAAAGCTGGAGATGGAGACAGTCTCCGTACTTACGTACTACAGAAGTGCTCGATATGTGGAGATGCTTCTGGATTGAGAGAACATAAGAAGTTAAGCAACGTTGAGCTTGGTTAGTACTCAGATGGTTGACCGTTGGGGAATAAGAGTTGCTGTAAGCTATGCGACAAGCCTAGCAATCTGGCGATGGAAAGAATTTCGCTATTTATACTAACAGAAAACCTCGATATGTGGAGGTGTTTCTAGACTAACAGATCTCAAGAACTACCTGAAGTGGTAGGGAAAAAAAGCTGTTAGAATGCACCCACTTACCTGTCCCTGATTTTCTCTTAGAAAATTTACTATATAATTAACATACCTGTCCAATTCTTCATCATGTCCGCTTTGCGGCAATCTGGAATACGACCATAACAAAGATCTTTTTCACTGCGTCGAAGGTTACACATTTCAGGGTTGCCTTCCCTGGACGTGAAGATCCGCCATCGTTCTCTCATGCCGCGGCCACATGTGTGACTACATGGTGACCATGGCGACCAGGGAGTGACAGCACATTTGCCCGTGTCGAGTTTCTCTTGCTGTTGAAATATAAAGTCCTCCGGTAGGACCTTGCCAGGTCTAAGGTGCATTATTTTCTTTCTGTTTTCCACCACCGGATCGAATTTCTTGTCCATGCCTGTCTCACATGTGTCGGCCAGCTCGAAGCATTTCTTCGTTTCTGTTAATGACGAGTTGCACATAGAGGGAGTAACATGGGCGTGGTTGAGCACTCGCCGACGCTGCTGAGATCCCATTCCACAACTGACTGAGCATTTTGTCCAGGCACTCCAACTGCTCATTTCACATTTTTCCATTTCTATAAAATACAAAGAATTTGTATATATCGTTATATATATATATATATATATATATATATATATAATCTTATAAATATAAGTAATTTTTCTCGTCCGGAAAAAACCTTAGGTGTTCTGGCTTGTAAAGGACCAAACCAATACAAAAGGAAAAATAAGGAATAAAAAAAGAAAGAATTAAGAACATGTAATTCAGGCGAGAACAATCGACTAGAATCCAAGCTCAGAGTCCAAAGAAAAAAAAACTCCGACACGAGTAAAATAAAAATAACTAAGGAAAGTGCTCAATACACTAAGCAGAGCAAATCTAACTACGAACCTAATGAGCCAGGCAAACCTATCTTTCGTATATATATATATATATATATATATATATATATATATATATATATAATAATCACTCTTTTTCTCTCTGTATGTATATATATATATCATAGTTATATATATATATATATATATATATATATAGGTAACTATACTAAATACGAAAAACCTTCGAATTTTGATTTGCCAATAATCAAATCAATCTCGAAGGAAAAAAAAAGTTTTTAAAAAAGGAAGAGCTAGAAACATGAAAGTCTGTCGAAAAAAATCGCACAGATATAGGTTTGAAGCCCAAAGAAAAAAACACCGACACGAGTAAACAAGTTACTAAAAAGAGCTCAATACAACCGTAGAGCAGACCTAGTCAAGCCTAGTGAGCCAGGCAAACCTACCCAGGTTTCACCTAAGCGGATGGTCAGGGAAAGCTGGCTTTCCCTCACTATCCGCTTAGGGTATGTTTGTCTGGCTCACTAGGTTTATCTCTCTCTCTCTCTCTGTATATATATATATATATATATATATATATATATATAATTATTTATTTAAAAATATGATTCCAACACGCTACATAAGAGGTCTCATGTTTCAAAACAAGAGCCGAAAACTTCAATATAATTATTTGAATTAAATTGAATTAAAGTAAGCTCTGTTCCATCTTCAAGCGAAATTTTTTTTTGGAATAACTTATTTCTGAAATTTACGTGTTTTAATAGCATATTCATTATTGAAATCAAAATTTCCATGGTAACAGCCAGAGCGATTGTTTAAATAGGAGGGGGTGTAGGGTGTTAATAATTTGTATCAGTATAGAGTTACATTCATAGATGTCAAGTCAGGGTAAGGTGGGGGTGTCTAAATTTAAAACATTGTTCACATAATCATTCTTTTGGGGTACATGCTATTCTTATTAAGAGATTTTGACTGATTCAGTGTGCAGCGTCTTTTCCCCACCATTTTAGATATTTCATACCCAGGCATTTTTAGAAATCTACAACTGAGTCTTGCAATATCTGGTGATTGTCATGACTGGAATGGCATTTAATATTACTCTCCAAATAGTCTAATGAAGATTCTTTCAGCCATGTTTTATCATTTTTAATAATTTATCATTCTGTTTCAGCCACTGTACATGCCTGCCTTTTCCTGATATCGCAAGCATTCGGTGGCCTTTCGGGAAATTTCGAACGGAAGTTTTTCTTTGTTTCGCGAGAACATATTGTTTTCAATACTTTACCTGTCATATTCTATGTTCTTCATAGAACATTTCAAAACTTGTAGCTATCAATTTTTCATTACCGTATAAATTTACTACTCCACTGAGGAGATGTAGATATTTCTGTACTCCATGACTCAGGTGATACAAATTCAATAGATTCCCTATTATTACGAGAATGAAAATTATTTTTTTTTAAAAAAAGATGAAAACAAGCGATGCTGGTGCCAAGAAAATTTGGATTGTATCTAAAACAGACGATGAACAAGAAATTCTCTGAACAATAAAGCCTCCCCAATAAAATATTTGAATAGATTAGAAATGTAGGCATGAAATTAAGCATTAGCTGTGTTTGTTAGCTCCCAGATAGAATAATGATTGATTTCTAGTTTATGGATGCTGACAGTTACTATAACCGCCCCCAATAGACGGTGATGGTTGCCTCTGTGATAAGGTGGTGGTTGTTTTCATAATGTTAATCTACTTTTAGCCTGGGCAGATGAAGATATTTATGTATGGCTCAAAGTGTGAACTAACGTTTTCAAAATGAAATAATTTTGTCTCAAGGTCCTTGATAAAATCCAAAGACGGATATGCAATGTAATTGGCATCTCGTCTGTAGCCGCTCTCTCACAGACGTACCGTTGCCTCCCTCTGTCTTTTTTACAAATACTTTCACGGTAACTGCTCCGATGAGCTGCTTTCGCTGGTTCCCAGACTTCATGAATTTAAGCGTTCTACTAGGCTGGCATCTCGCTCTCACCCTTTCACTGTCGAAACTGTTAAATATAGCCGTTCCTTATACTCCAATAGCTTCATGTCTCGCACTTCTCGCCTGTGGAACTCCCTCCCCATTTCTTGTTTTCCTGATAGCTATAATCTCCAACTATTCAAATGTAACATCAATCGACGTCTCCAGATGCCTTGATCTATCCCCTATCCTTCTCTTCATCCTTTCCTCTATAACTCCTCTTTGTTCTCGCTCCAACTCTCTGTAACCCCTTGCGTGCTAGTGGCTTCCCGCCTTGCTTGGGGTTGAATGCTTAAAAAAAAAAAAATTTAAGATTTACCATTTTTTTTTTATCTACTAGGATATGTAACACAGGATAATGGAACTCTTTGAACATTAATATCTTTTAGTAGAAGTTCTGAATATTTCAAAAGTAAAACTTACGAAGTTTTTTCTTAATCTCTACTTTCTTCTTCATCATGTTTACTAATTCTTCGGTGCTGGGGGATTCTTCCTCGATGTCATCAAAACTGGAAGCTCCTTTGCACTTTTCCTTCTCTTTTGTGATTGTTAGTCGAGCCATTGGTTTTATCGCATTTGGACCATAAAATGGCGACGAAGGAACATTTGGGTAGTGGTTGGTAATTTTATGGATTTTCTCTTGTGGTTTCGTTACAAAATTCGGACTCTGTGTTTACAAAGAAAAAAAAGAGAGGTTACACAAAATAGACGGATAAAACAACGAAGGAAAAAAATACTGTAAGACTATTACGTCCGTGTACCGAATTTGAAGCATATGTTTTCATTTCGCGCCTGTTATATCAGCAGTAAATTTTGTATAAGGAAATGTTATGTTATATGGTCCTGGATGTAAATTTATCGTAAATGATACAGAAATTATTGCACTTTCAATATATTTTCACCTGAATAAATTCAGTCAGTTATGTGTCATGCGTGATACACGCTTAGGCGATCATGTATATTTCGATATATGACTGACGAGGCAGATTTTTTCCCGCAGTAGGTTGCCATTTGTTTCTGTGGTAGACCAGATTACATCATTAGGACTGTTATCCTCGTCTTCATTGCAATATTCACAATGTTTCGGCCGTTGTACGCCCCGGCCTTGTTCAGGTGATTCCAATTTCGAACCGAACCTTTTATTTCGTCCACCGAAAAAGCTGTGTATTCAATACCATGCCAGAGCATTGGTGAACCAAAAGAGAGTTAAAGAGAAATAAGTGAGACATTCGGGAGAGGCATGACACGTGGAACTAGAGCTATCTACCCTAGTGGATGAAATAAATGGTTCAGTTCCAATAATATAAATAATGGAAGTTATAAAAGGGTTGATAAGCTGTAAAAAAATCAAAATTATCAATTATAAAAACATATGAACCAACCACAATGCTATATTTCTTATTTGTTATATCATAAATTTATAAAAAAATGTCTGTCAAGAAGAATTTTTAAATAAACCGATAACTATCTATATCTCTGAGATGAGGTATTATGATTACTTGCATTATTTACATTATTCGGACTGTTATCCTGATCTTCATTGCTCTATTCACAACGTTTCGGCCTCTATATCTCTGAGATGAGGTATTATGATTACTTGCATTATTTACATTATTTGGACTGTTATCCTCATCTTCATTGTCATATTCACAACGCTCCGGTCTTCTTCAGGTAATTGAAATTTCGAACCGAATCCATTATTTCGTCCACCTGGGTAGATTGTTCTAGTTCCTCATGCCATGCCTCTTCCGGATGCCTCAGTCATTTCCAAGTTTTGGTTCACACATAGCCCAGTTGATAAAGACGTTGGTCAGATCCAGTGACGAGAGTTGTGAGTTCATTTCGACATTCCAACCACCTGAAGAAAGCCGGAGCGTACAACGACCGAAACGTTGTAATAAATATGGCGATAAAGATGAGGACAATAGTCCGAATAATGTAAATAATGTACATAATACCTCATCTCAGAAATATAGACAGTTTCTCTTTGAATTTGTGAAAGAATTAATTTGACTCATGTTGTTGCACAATGCACAGGGTTTTTCTCTTCTATGAGTATTTTCGGGAGTACAGCGATTCGAAACTCCAATGTTGTTTAGAGTGTAGACAAGTACATTTGTTATTATTATTATTATTAGTAGTAGTAGTAGCAGCATTATGATTATGATTTTTATGATTATATTTACAACCTGAATATTCATTTACGAATATGAATTTATCAATAAGTATTGATTTGAAATCAGTTATTATCTTTACATTTGCTGATAATTAGTATTGATTAATCGTCGACCTTTGTCGACATGTTAACGTGATCTCTTATCAGATCGCGTTTTATGAGATTTTATCCGGTGTTCATTATGTACTCTATCACAATAACATCAATCATATCCAAATTCATGATGAACAATATTAGTAATAATAATAATGATGATAATATTTATATTTAAACTCGACATCATTTAATTTATCATAATAATATTGAGTAAAATAATATTGAGTAAAATTTAATTTTCTTGTCTTTAATCAAATAAATATATTCAGAAAAGTATCATTAACGCCTTTAAATTATTTGTGTATGTGTGTCCAGCTTAAACTATAACATTTAGACCAATATAAAAACTATAATATTTAGACTAATATAAAAACTATAATATTTAGACCAATATAAAAACTATAATATTTGGACTAATATAAAAACTATAATATTTAGACCAATATAAAAACTATAATATTTGGACTAATATAAAAACTATAATATTTAGACCAATATAAAAACTATAATATTTAGACTAATATAAAACTATAATATTTAGACCAATATAAAAACTATAATATTTAGACTAATATAAAAACTATAATATTTAGACCAATTTAAAAACTATAATATTTAGACTAATATAAAAACTATAATATTTAAACCAATATAAAAACTATAATATTTAGACTAATATAAAAACTATAATATTTAGACCAATATAAAAACTATAATATTTAGACCAATATAAAACTATAATATTTAGACTAATATAAAAACTATAATATTTAGACCAATATAAAACTATAATATTTAGACTAATATAAAAACTATAATATTTAGACTAATATAAAAACTATAATATTTAGACCAATAATAAAACTATAATATTTAGACTAATATAAAAACTATAATATTTAGACCAATATAAAAACTATAATATTTAGACTAATATAAAAACTATAATATTTAGACCAATATAAAACTATAATATTTAGACTAATATAAAAACTATAATATTTAGACTTTAAAAAAACTATAATATTTAGACCAATATAAAAAAACTATAATATTTAGACTAATATAAAAACTATAATATTTAGACCAATATAAAAACTATAATATTTAGACCAATATAAAAACTATAATATTTAGACCAATATAAAAACTATAATATTTAGACTAATATAAAAACTATAATATTTAGACCAATATAAAAACTATAATATTTACACAAATGCAGACAGACACATATATTTATTACTTCAAATGTTATTATAGTGGAAACTTCTTATTTGTAATAGACGCCCCATTTTTATTTAAGATAATATCTATCTATTTATATCTATAATTCTCAAAATGTGTGTATGTATGTGTGTGCGTGTATGTGTGTGTAGTGTGATCGGATGTGTTTCCACAGTTTTCATCCGATTTCGATTAGATTTTTTTTTTTTGATAGATAATTCTTTAGTGCTGGTTTTAAGTCCAAATTGGGATGTAAAAATTACATCCTTGAAGGCGAAAAATCGAAAAAAAAACTGATTTTTTACACTTGGCGAAAAAATCAATAGCAAAATTTAATGTCTGTAAAAAACAGAATACAATCAATTTTGAGAGTTGAAATCTAACGCAAAAAGATCATTAGAACTAAAAAAAAACAATTATATTATAAATAAGAATTATCGTATATTATTATTATTATGACGGTACGCCCCCACCATTCAAATTGTTACCCCAGATTTGAAAATGTGCCTCAGTTGCACCCAATTGGTGTTACTAATATTGATTTTCGGGTGGGCGGACTTTAAACTTAAACTGCTCCAAATGAACGGCAAAAATTCCCAGTAATGAAAGACCCAGTCGAATTAATAAACAAAAAAAAAATTGAGGCGTCTATTTCAAATAAGAAGTGTCCCCTATAATAACGTTTGAAGTAATAAAAATTTCGGAATAAAATTAAATGCATTTGTTCTTTAGAAATATAAGTATGTGTGCGCGTGTGCGCGTGTGTGAGTGTGTGCGCGCGCGTGTGTGTGTGTGAATAAGGTATATTTAAGCAGAAAGTATTTATCCAAACAAGAATAAAAAGAACTGACTCTTTAATTTTTACTGTATTTTTTCAATTTTCGAATAAATTGTTGAGTATGGTGCTTGAAATTGTGATTAAACTGTTAGAAGTTTAGATTTCGTTATTGTTTTGTTCACGTACTTACGGCCTAATCAGTCATTTTCAAGTACCTATATATATATATATATATATATATATATATATATATATATATATTACACACGAATAAACAAGTAATCTTTACAAAGATGCATATTTGTTTTGATGTCTAAACATAAGCAACTTATCAAGTGGTGAACAAAGGTGGTTAACCATTACTTGTTTCTTCGTATGTAACTTATAATAAATAACTATTGCTTTACTTTTGGTATTGAGTTCTCTTTTAAATTGAATGTTGTTATGAACGTTTGAATTTATACTCTTTTCGTTCTCATTACATTTGGATATATAATATATATAGGACGAAAGAAATCGTTGAGTACCTTAAATCTCTGGTACAAAGAAAAAAAAACAGCGAGTAATAAGTTAAAACGAAGAGTGGTCAATACACTAAGTAGATCAAAAGTAAAATAAATAAATCCTAATGAGCCAGATACTACCTACCTAGTTTTCACCACATGGGATCATCAGGGTGAGACTGATTCAGTTCCAGTTCACCCTGATGATCACATGTGGTGAAAACTAGGTAGGTAGTACCTGGTTCATTAGGATTTATTTATTACACACACACACACACACACACACACACACACACACACACACATATATATATATATATATATATTTAGATTCTATCGATTTTGACATTGAGCCCTCAGTTTATTTTATATTTTAAGTCTTTAGCTTATTTTAAAATTTAGCTTTTATTCTCTCTCTCTCTCTCTCTCTCTCTCTCTCTCTATATATATATATATATATATATATATATATATATATATGTGCGTGTGTGTGTGTGTGTGTGTGTGCATGCGTCCGTGCGTGGATGTGTGTGTAATATATACTTTGATTCCAAATGTTCCACGGAAGGTTTTGATAAACAATTTATTTCCCTCCTCTGTAAGTGACATTTGTAAAAGTTGTTTTTTATATTAATTCAATAATATTTCATAATTTTAAACTTTTGCCCTTAATATTATTCTAGTGGATAAAAAATGGAAATTTGTTTTTGTAAGGAAAGAGATCCCATTGTATTTCAAGTAGTAATGATTTTTTTTAATTTTAAAGTAAATAAGCCTTTTAT